GGGCGGCGGGGGGTGGGACCCTCCGTAGCCGCGCACTCAGGGCCGGCGCCCCCCCCCGCAAGTGCCGCGCGCCCGGGGCCGGAGCTCCCCCCCAAGTGCCACGCACCCGGGGCCAGCGCCTCCTCCAAGCGCCGCGTGCCCAGAGTGCGGGTGGCCAATTCACGGCGCTCCCGGGGCCGGCTCCAGCACCATGCGTGCGCCACGTGCCCAGGGCCAGGCCATCCCCGAGCACTTGGCGGGCGCACACGAATGCCCCCGTGGGCTCCATGGCGCCCGCAGGCACCGTGCTGGGGACCACTGATCTAGATGGTGCTTGGTCCTGCCATGAGGGCCGGGGACTGGACTTGATGACCTCTCAGGAGTCCTTCCAGGTCTATGGTTCTCTGAAAAGCAGGGGAGGCAGTGACCACTCCCCTCTTGCAGGGGCTCTTGATCTTTCCAGACTACTGGGCCCCTGGCTGGAGCCGGATTTGTCTCACATATCCCAAGTTTCACCTTGCTTGAAAACGCCTTGCTTACAAAATCAGACATAAAAATGCAGCCAAAGCAACGGGGAGTCCTGGGGCACCTTAACGACTGACACGCTTATTCAATGTATGACATGTGTTACATTTATTAACACATTTATGACATGTGTTAAGGTGCCCCAGGACTCCACGTTCGTTTTGGTGATACAGACTAACCCAGCTACCCCCTCTACACGCAGTGCAGCGTTACAGCACTCTATCACTGAAAAAAAGGGCTTGTTTTCTCATGTTTCCCTTATCATTATCAAATAAATCCAGTGGAATATGAATATTGTACTTACATCTCAGAGTAGCGCATAGAGAGCAGTATTAACAAGTCGTCGTATAGTTCGTACTGACTTAGCTGGTGCCTTTTACGTGGCCTTGTGTAACACTAGGCAAATATGCATTGATGTACCCACTGGAAGACCTCTATGAACCCCCAGGGGTACACATGCCCCTGGCTGAGAACCACTGCCCTATTGTGCTATGGCTGGAGAAGTGGGCGAGGGAAGTGCTAGTAATTACTGCGCTGTAGGTGCCTTACGGTAGCATCTAAAAGCCCCAGCTGAGATCACAGTCCCTGCCCCAAAGAACTTACCCTCTAAATGCACCAGACAGCCTGGAGGTGGGGAGGGGGGAGCAAGGATCCTTATTCCCATTTTACAGACGGGGAACCAAGGCCCAGAGAGACAATGCATCTCTGAGGCCAGGCTGCGGATGCTGCAACAGTGAGACCGGGGTTGCGGGGGTGTCCCAGGAAGGGCTCTGGCACAGGGCTGAGGGGCAGGTTTGCAGGTGGGCTGGCCGGCCGGGGAAGGCTGCAGATACCGGTGGCACAGACACTCGCACAGTTACAGTCACACTGAGCAACAGCCGTTCCTGTTTGGCCCTGGGCAATTCCCGCCAGCTGGGTTTGTGTTCCTGTTGGTGGTGCATTCTCAGGGTATGTCTACACTACAGCGTTAATGCAAAGTGCCACTGTAGCGGAGACATACCCTCACGTGCTGCGGCACACAGACAGGCTGTGTCTACACTGGGCCACTTATTCCGGAAAATCAGCCGCTTTTCTGGAATAAGCTGCGAGCTGTCTACACTGGCCCTTGAATTTCCGGAAAAGCAACGATGCTCTACTGTACAAAATCAGCCGCTATTCCGGAAAAACTATTCTGCTCCCGCTCGGGCATAAGTCCTTATTCCGGAACACTCTTCCGGAAAAGGGCCAGTGTAGACAGCCCAGTAGGCTTTTCCGGAAAAAAGCCCCGATCGCGAAAATGACGCTCGGGGCTCTTTTCTGGAAAAGCGCGTCTACATTGGCCACAGATGCTTTTCCAGAAAAAGGGCTTTTCAGGAAAAGCAGCCTGCCAATGTAGACGCTCCTTTTCCGGGAAAACTGAAAACGGAATAGTATTCCGTTTTAAGCAGTTCCGGAAATTCATGCCAGTGTAGACACAGCCACAATGTATTCCACACATGAATGGAAGTGATTAGAGGGAACACTGGAGGCCAGCCCTACTGCTTGGGCCTCCCTCTCCAGCCCGGAGCCTCGTCCAGAGACCAGCCAGGCTCAGGTAGCGTCTCTCATCTGGGCCCCTCCTCTCTGGCTCTTCCCGCCCCCGTAAGTCCCACGCTGGCCTGCCCTGTGTAAGGCAGATATGGCTGGTTCCACAGTCCCTGAGGCTGCTGCCGTATGGCTCCTGCTTCCAGGGCTGGCCTGACCATGAGGTGACCTGAGGCGGCCGCCTCAAGGGCCAGACTGCGGGGGGAGGGGGCCGACATTTGAGGTCCCTGCCTCAGGTGCCAAAGTGTGGCAGGCCAGCCTTGCCTGCTCCCCAACTGAGCCCAGCCTGGTTCGGGCCCATTCCTTCACCCCGCCAGGGGAAAAGACGTACAAAGGGAAGAGGCCGGGCAGGATACATGGCCCCTGCTTAGCCAGGAGAAGGGGGGGTACGCAGGGAGGGGGCTGACGGACGTTGTAACCCCCGCTTTGCAGAGGCAACACACCCCATTTTGAATTTGGGGTGCCCCTCTTCAGAATCCCTCGGGGTAGCGCCCACCCCACCTCTCAAACCCAGGCCCAAAGTGCCCCCAGCCGGGCCCCCAGATACGGAGGCGTCAGGATGTTGGCCAAGGCGTCTCTGGTCCCAGCCGGTGGCTGCAGCGCCTCCCTCTCCTTACCCATCGATGTCGGCCGTCTCCACGTAGCACAGGCTGCTGGGCTCCGAGCTGGACAGCAGCAGCAGGTCGGCCTTTCAAAGCAACCCAAAGAGACAGGGCCTCAGAGAGGTTTCCCGCCGAGGCCCCCTCCTTCCCACGCCCCCGCAGGACCTCTGAGAGAGGGGCCCGGCCCACCAGGCGGGGCAGGCTCACCGGGACGACGCTGTCCTTGCGCAGGCAGACGATGTCCCCGACACAGATGTCCCGCCCTTTCTGCCCGC